CCTGAGCGCCGCCCCTGAGCTCTTCAACTCAAGGCTAGCGCTCTACCACTTGAGCCACAGCGCCATTTCTGGCTTTTTCTGCTTATGCGGTGCTAAGGAATAGAGCCCACTGCCTCAAGCATGCAAGGCAAGCACTCTACCACTGAGCCACCTTCCCAGCCCCTTCCCTCATGTTTTAAGAGAGGAAAATTATGTGAAAGTATCTGCATCCATTGTGAACTTGATAGCCAGAACTGAGGAAGGTAAGCAAATGGGAGAAAACAGCAATCACTGGACTTCTGTATACACACACACACACACACACACACACACATTCTTGGTGGGGGGAGTATTTTGGGTGTAGATATGAAAGCACATGAGGTTCACCCCACAAATGGACAAATTAAAAAAACTGTAACTGGGCTGGGAAGGTGGCTCAGTGGTAGAGCGCTTGCCTTGCATGCATGAGGCCCTGGGTTCGATTCCTCAGCACCACATAAGCAAAAAGGAAAAAGCCAGAAGTGGCACTGTGGCTCAAGTGGTAGAGCACTAGCCTTGAGCTGAAGAGCTGAGAGACAGCGCCCAGGCCCAGAGTTCAGGCCCCACGACTGGACCAAAAAACAAAAACAAAAACAAACAAAAAAAAAACTACCTGCAATTAAGCTGGGCTTAATTATTAAAATACAGAGCAATACATACATACACATAGTTTGCAACGTTAATGCACTTCAGCTTACATTCTATTCCCATAATCACTACAATCTAGTTCTCAAAGGAAACTAGAAGGAAGTATGTGATCAGTAAAATGGGGGTGACTTCCAAGTGATGAAGACAAAGTTATTAATTAGTACACTGGTGTTCCATTGTACAGAGTTTCTGCAGATAAAACTGAGGGAACAATGAGAGACTCAGGACTCACTGAAAAAGTGGGATCAGGCCATTTAAGCTATCTCTAGTCATGAAAAAAATATGAGAAGAACATGGTTTTTTGTTGTTGTTTTCTTGCTGGTCCTGGAGTTTGAACTCAGGGCCTGGGTACTGTCTCTAAGTTTCTCTGTGCTCAAGGCTATTGCTCTACCACTTGAGCCACAGTGTTACTTCTGGCTTGTTCTGTTTATGTGGTACTCAGGAACTGAACCCAGGGCTTCATGCATGCGATGCAAGCACTCTATCTCTAAGCCCAAGAACATGTGCTTATTTGAAGACAAATACTTTTGTCATCCTGGTGGTTGTTTGAAACATTTTGAGCGAACCTTTCAAAAAAAAGGAAAGGGGGTGCTGGGAAGGTGGCTCAGTGGTAGAGCACTTGCCTTGCATGCTCGAGGCCCTGGGTTCGATTCCTCAGCACCACATAAGAAAAAAGTGGCACTGTGTGGCTCAAGTGGTAGAGCGCTAGCCTTGAGCTGAAGAGCTGAGGGACAGCACCCAGGCCCAGAGTTCAGGCCCCACGACCGGACCCCAAAAAAAAAAAAGGAAAGGGATTTTTCTGTCCTCATTAAGAATGCCCAATAGTTTGGAATATTAAAACATTTTTCTCTTTTTTTCCCCTTTTCCCTTCCCTTTTTTAAAGACAGGTCTCCTTGCTTCAGTGGCCCAAATACTAGAATTACATGGGTATGCTAGTATATTGTCACAGTGTGACCCTCCTTTGTGAAGTGTTTTTAAGTGTCCTGAACTTAACTTTACACAATTATCTTTGGTTTTCTTGTACAACTCATTTTTCTCCTGTTAAATCATCTAAAATGTTTCAGATGAAGTTTGGAAGATCAAGCCACAAGTTGTCAGCAGCATTAGACTAAGGTGACCATAGTGTTTCAGAGATGTGAATGGTCCCTCTTGTGGTAAGTAATGAGAACTCTTCTAGCTTAGTGGATGGTGTGGGTTCAAAACTTGTAAAGGTTAAAAACTTATTCTGATTATTCCCTGGAGTGTTAGTTCAGGACAAGGATGGCTAATTATGTCATGTTTTTTCTTTCAGATCCAATCAGTGGGATGTTTAAACATGAACTTTGCAACAGAAGACTGGGGAAGAAGTATACTGGTGACTTTGTTCAATTTAAGATAAAGTCCTAGACAATTATATAAACTAGCTTACACATGGGTTGGAAGGTGGCTCAGTGGTAAAGTGCTTGCCTTGCATGCATGAGGCCCTGGGTTCGATTCCTCAGCACCACATAAGCAGAAAAAGCTGGAAGTGATGCTGTGGTTCAAGTGGTAAAGTGCCAGCCTTGAGCTAAAGAGCTGAGGGACAGCACCCAGTCCCAGAGTTCAAAAAAATATAGCTTACACATTTTTTTTTTCTTTTTTCCCTTCTTTTTTCGTTATGTTATTTTTTAGATAGTGTCTTGTTTTTGTTCAGGCTGGTAGATGACCACGATTCTCTAGTTTTTGGTCTCTTACATAACTAGATTGACAGATGCATGTTGCCATGTCCAGTTTGTTGATTAAAATGAGTTCTCAATAACTTTTTGTTCAGTTTGGCTTTTAATTGTGATTCTTCTGATCTCTGTCTCCTGAGAAG